ATTGATTGCAAAAAAATAATGAGAAAAGGGCATTTCTCTTTAAATATTGACAAAAAAATTTATACATGAAGAAAAATGTGAAAAACTTGAAATTTCGAAAAGTTAGTAAACATGGCAGAATAATAAATTCTTTCTAAAAATTCGGAAAACTTTTTCCCGTAATTTCCCGTAATTATACCAATTTCCCGACTATTGAATTTTAAAAAGTAAAACTACCATAGAATTGCTTGGGAATATAGGCAGTTGATTGGCATCAAATGGATTTCACTTTAAACGATACCTTTGCTCTCGTCAAGGGGTGTGAATTGAATTCATGCAACAGCTTAACCGTCGTACTGATTTTTTAAAAAAATATAAACAACAAACTAGAATAAAAATTCATAATTTAGTAATTAATAATAAAAATAACAATTAAAAGTAAATAAATAAAAATTTGTTCAAAATATGAATATAAAATAGGAATATAAACAAATTTAAATAAATAGAAAAATCAGTAATTTATACTCTAGCCAAGTGACTCACTGATAACATTTATCTGATAATCTGATAAGCTAGAGGGCCAAGTCTAACCAGAAATGATAGCTCTTTAAAAACAAATAAGAGATCAGATCGAGCAAAAAATTTTTCGAAAAAACATTTTCGAATTTTAATTAAGGAATTTAATTTTAATTTTAATTTTAATTAAATTATTGGTTAGTTATAATGAAAAGAATGTGAATATTATTATTAATGATTCTAATGATATAGAATGATATGATAACAGTTGTTCAGAACCAGAAAATATTTTCCTGGACGAATGCAAAGAGAACTATCAAATAAATAAATAAGAAGAACAATAGATGCCCTCTATCTGAATATACGGAAACCGACGTCTAACCTTATTTTCTTACCTACAACATAATGCACGTATAATTAGTTGGTTATATGCCATCAAGTCGTTTTCGACTCCTAGTGACTCGTTGATAGATAAAATCCAGGATAATCTATTCTAACTTGGTCCATCAAGTGTGCTAACCAGTGCAGTGCACTCTTCATAATTGAGCCTGTGCACTGCATTGCTCGCTGTCCTCTTCTTTCCTTTCTTCCTTTTTTAATAACAGTATTTTTTTCCACAATCTTCGCATGATGTGTATACGAAGCTGGATAATTTATGCTCAGTCATTTAAGCCCAGTCATTTATGCTTAAATTGAGAACTCTGACTTTTTTCGATAATCTAACGGAAAATTTCTCGCTTATATTCATGGCGATATTCTCAGAAATCTTCTGCAGCACCAAAGTATTATTAGTCTTTTCCTACTTAAAGCCCGAGTTTTATATCCATAGAGAATCAGAAAGTTTCACGGCGTATATTTAGTTCCAATAAATCTAATCATGGTACTTCAACTATATTTTTATAAAAATTCATGAGTTTCATATATTTAAAAACAATTCAAGTAAAGTTTCCAGTAGTCAGTTGTACTATTGTCGATTTCAGTATTTCACTAATAAAAAAATTATAAAAAGCCTGAATCAGCCTGAATCAATTAATTCTTGGCCAACCTGAAAAGAAACAATACAATAGTCGATGTAATTATGTAATAAATAAAAATGAACTAATGGATGAAAAGTTCAGGAATTCATCCGCTGTTATAGTGTAAAGTATAATAATAATAATATTATAAAAATAATAAATAAAAAATAAATAAAATAACATATAAAAAACAAAATAAAAAATTTATAATATAGTATAAAAAATATAATAATATATAATAATAATAAATATATAATATAAAAAATATAAAATATATAATAAATATATAATATAATGAGGTGGATATTTGATATAATATCAACTTGGCTAAAAATAAGGCTAATGCAGCAATATTATTTTAAGAAACTATGAAGAAAACTGCGTTAAAAACTAACAAGTTAACTAATTTGCTTCAATAATATGCAGCAACCTATTATTAAGCGTATTTTAGCTAAATCAAATAGCTTTTATCCTAGCTATTATCTTTTAACATTTAGTTCCAATAAATCTATTAACCTATGGTACTTCAATTGTACTAATTGATTTTGATCAAAAAATCATAAAGAAATATCTTAAAAAAACTAATACTTCAATGAACCGAAAAAGCCTTAAAAATATTATAGCGTTCAATTGTGTTATTTCATGCATATGCATTAAATGTAAAAGAGAAAAATTGTTTGGATTAATACTAAGCTCATTCCATATAAATGAAATTATATAATTTTTCTTCATTTTTTCAATTTTATATTTATAGAATTTCAAATGAATTTTAAATGAAAAATAAATTTAAACGAAAAAAGTATATCGAAAAAAAATTCAACTATTTTCATAGTTTCATTATAATTTATAATAATATTAATAATAATTATATAATATTAATAATAATAGTAATAATTTCTAAAAATGAAAATAATTCATATTTACTAATCACAATTATTATTAATTATCTACCTATATATTAATTATTTATTATTAATTTATTTATTATATTTATTATTAATAAAAATTTTAATTCTAAAAAATAAATTAGTAATTTATTTTATTTATTATCTTTTAGTTTATGGAAATATGAAAATCGAAAATTGCCATAAAAATTTATGGAAAAGAAATTTTATAGATTATGTGAAATTTATTTACTCTGAATATATCTAAATATATAATTTTATTTTGGAATTAGCTTTATATCAAAAAACTATGGCAAAAAGAATATTTGGAATGGAAAAAATGATTTCAGATTTCTGGATAAAGTTTCTGGATTGTTTTGAGATTAGATAATTGTTGAATAATAAGCCATTTGTGGAATTCTACTTTTGGCAAGAGAAAAAGCCTTTGAACCTTTGAAAAAAACCTTTGAAAAATTCCAGTGATACTTCGCGATTCACCTATATTTCTGTCGCTACGTACCTTAATTTGCCCAATGTGATAAGCCAGCAAATAGAGCCTATTTACAAATTCAATACTTACGATTTGCTTTTCCTCAAAAACCGTGCCTAAATTGTTTGATGTGCCCTCATAAAACCCCGTATTCCCTTATTTTCTGCCTTCTGTCAACTAGAAATCGTGCGACCTATGCGACTCTCTATTTTCAAGAAATACATTATATATGACCCTTCACATTATGAATAACGAAACGAAGTATGAATTAAAAATTAGATTATTAGTAGCGAATGACGCTCTTATGTCGTAAATTAATGACAATTTTCTTGGATTTAATAAATAACAAATCAACAATCAGCTTTAGGCTAATCCGTATTAGTTTGGGTGACTGCGCTGGTATAAATGAATTCAGATTTCTGGATAGAGTTCTTGGATTGTTAAGATTGGGCAATGATTGACCAGCAACAAAATATGAAACAATCAGGTCTATTAATGCCAGAATAAGAAATGAACTATTTTTCATTTTTACGACTAATTATTGTTTAGTCTCAAAAACCTCCGGATCGCCTAAGTGTCCGGAATTTGCCTTTGGCTATTCACATAACAGCTATTCGTAACAAGACTTGGTAAGTCGCGAAATATACCACAGTTTTTATGGATGGGGAAAAATATAGCCCAAACAGCATAGACGAGACATTTTCTGACAGTATATGACAATAGTTATTTTTGTGGTACTCACTATGGTTAGGCTTATCAATAGTTAGGTTTATTCCGACAATTCGTTGGAGCAGACAAACCTTTCCAGTGAGTTACTTGGCAAAAGAAACACAGATGTATGGATTTTATTGGCACCGTTAGGTAGAAATGGTCGAAGGTTGTTAATTTCCTTTTTCATTGGCCATATTTGAAAGTTATATAATAGGTGCGTGTTGGGACAGAAAAAATAGCAAATGCGAACATCCATGTTTCAGAGGATAAACAAGAAATATTAACTTTTTGCTCGGCTAGCCATAATATGAACGGTTAGAAGCAAATTATCTAAATTCTCTACCAGTTATCAATTAATTATGAATATAAAAATAATTATTAATGTAGCAAGAGAAATTTGAAATGTTGGAAACGAAGCCAAAATAATCCCGAAGATAATTGGGGCAGTTGGAGCTACGAATCCTAAACTGAAAAAATGGCTTCAGCAAATTCCAGAAACATCAGAGATCTCCCTCCAGAACCGCAGACTATTAGGAACAACTAAGATATTGTGCAGACTGATAATTACGATTATCAGCAAGCCTTTTTTATCACTAAATCGTAATCTAATGCGGAAATGGGAAATTACATTATAAATTCCTCTCATATTGATTTCTCTCTCGTATTCGCACTAAGATGACTGATGATCTGTTTAGATCCCCGCAAGATCTGCCTCGATAAAATACCCCTCACTATAGCAAACTAAGCTCGCTCAATGCTGCCGACTACTGCCGAGCCCAATAAAGCAAATAAAATTTAAATTTTTGAAAATCGTCATTACCAGTCAATGGCCGCACTTGGTCTTACCGCGACCGCCTTTCTACCATGCGATTTTGGTTTGGTTTGATTTGGTTTCTCGAGCCTTAGGTGGTACCTTGGCCTTAAGGCAGTGGTGTGGGGTGCAGGTCAGATTTTTCAAGGCGTTTGCAATTTTCCGCCTGGAGTGCACTTGGGGATTAATTAAAATTGGGGCATTAATAATGATAATAGAAAAATAATATTTCCAAATAGAGTGCTTAATTAATTTTCGAGATTTGTGGAGATCTATAATGTTTCCTATAATTTATAATTTTTCATTACTTTAATAATTTTAATTTTAATTCTAATAATTTAATCCAATTTATAATTTATCTGTAATTTTCATTTTCTCCATCAACTAAAAGTAAATTTTTATATTTCATCAAGTTGATTTCATCAAATTCTTTAAGGATTCCTCAGCATTCACCAAACTCCGAAAGGCGTCCGCAGCTTCCATCGGGGAGATTATTGGATTTCACCCAATTTTTAAAGTAATTTGTAGATTTTCATTATTCCATTGTTTTTTATGCATTTTTGAATTCCAATTTCAGGTTTATTTCTTTTTTAATGGATACTCTGCAAATAATTTTATTAGTTTTTTTATATTATTTAAATCCAATATTATCAAATTCTCATAATTCGCATGGTGTTGTCGATTCGGACAATGAATTTGCCGAATTTGAAGATGACGATGCTGATGATGAAATAATAATTGATAAGGATGATAATTCCCATAATGCAATTTATCATGGCGATTCATCGCAAACTAAACAAAATGTTGAAAAATTGGTTCGTTTTTTTTATTTGTTTTGTTTCAAAATAATAAACCTAATAACAACTGCTTGATGCGGCTGTCATTTATAAGTGATAAGTGATTGACAAGTGATTAGATCTTTTAGCGTTGAGATTGCTTATTTTTGTTTTCATTTTTTATAATTCTATTTAATTAATGAAAACTTAAATTTTAAAGGATGAATATGACGATTTTTTATCAGATAATGAGGAATTTGAACGAATCGAAAAAACATCGCAAAAGCAAGATGATCAACCGCAACAAACTACTTTGAAATTCGCCGATGTAACTTTTTTAATGCATAAATTTTTAGATTTTCTTTTTAAATTTTGCAAATATTTAAACTTTTAGTAAATTTTTTAAATTTTGCAGATGTATAGAATTTTTATTATAAATTTTTATTGTGAAGAAAAATATTTGCACGTTTATTATTTATTATAAATTTTTTATTCCTTTATTTATTTGGTTAAAGGAAATGTTAAAAATAAAATTAACTATCCTCTTTCCTTTTTGTGCGGAATTTTAGTTAGTCCCTTGAAAATCCTGCAAAATTTGTAATTCTGTTATCATTAATTATTCTTCGCCACTTCACAGCTGTTTGACTGGACGCACCGGTGAATCTCAGTGAGGGAAGTTGAGGGGGAAGATGACTGCTAATTTAATTCAAATTTTTTCGAATTTTTGTCGATATTATTCTTACTTTTTTTTCTTTTTAAATTATAGAATTTTTTTTTGATAGATGTTGCAGACTATATTTATTATATTTATTTCATATATATTTATTATATTGCAGGTTCCGGCTCATTTTCGCTCTAATTGGGCATCATATCAAGTAGAAGCGGTTGTAATTTTGTTGTTAGCCTTATATATGATTAATTACATGATAGGCAGATCAAGGAATCAAGCAATCGCAAATAGTTGGTTTCAAGATGTTTCTACGCTTCTGCAAGAGCAGTTTACTGTTGTTGGTGATGATGGTGTGTCTGAAGAACCTGGTGAAGGAAACCTCATAAAGGAAACCGATTCAACTTATTTGATTTGGTAATTATTATAATACATAAAATTATCGTATCTTTTTGAAATAAATCTAACTAAAATTTTCAGGTGTTCAGGTCGTGCTAGCTGTCAGGGAATGCTCATACATTTAAAGTTACAAAAAAGGCAAGATCTATTAAGTGTGATCTTGGGTTTATTTCGACCTCAGCAAGATAAGGTTTGAGATTTATTCGATTTTAATTGATAAGTTTTATTCTTAATATTTCTGAAAATATCAAAAATTTTAAACTTTCCTTTGGCAGTAAAGTGATAAATTAAAATCTAGGCAGTCATTCGTATAGATATGGATCCAAATGAAATGGATTCATTTGTGCTTATAGTAGGACAACGAAAATCAGTTACAAAGGCTGTTAAAGATGTGATGGATTTGGTAAGTTATTTTGATAGCTTCGCGTTTGCAACGATGTAACCATTATTACTTTAACAAGAGATTTTTTGAAAACATCATTTAGATGATGAAACTTGAAATTATATGCAATTAGACATATTTTATTGCTATATTTTTAAGAAAATTGATGCTCAATTATCTCATTCAAAAATTTATTGTGATACAAAAATTAATAGTTCAGATATAATTAATATACATACGTAACTGTGTATTAGAATCATCACCGAATTCAACGAAATATTTGTTTATATTCAGGGCATGTTTACTGTGGAACGTAAGGGTCTAGAAAGATTAGGGTTGCCTCAGTCTATGACAGTTTTTGCCGAAATTTCTGAAGCAGTTACAGCTATTATTGATCCAGTCGTACAATCAGTACTTCGTAAATACGAGAATGCTGTTGATTATATTCATTTTTCCGACCAGTATTCCGGTTTGAAGCCAACTGAGTTAGTTATTAAGCAATTTATTTTATCTTTTTTTCCCCCAGTAATTCTAAACAAATTCATCATATTTTGTCGATCTTAGAGGAAGTAAATATATTACATTATTGCATATTATATTGTAAATATATTATATATAATATTGAAACTGAGATAATTATCAGAATTTACAAGTTTTTTTTTCAGAGGCGAAACTTACACACGTTTGCCAGATACTTCTCGAGTTCTTATATTTGCTTTTAATATAGGAAATGATCAAGCCGAGACTGAAGCATTAATAAAGACAGTTTTCTACTGTCTAGAAAAAATCAAGCGTTACAGACTTTCTAGGGAAGGAAAGTCGAAGGTTCGATTACTGAAAATTATAGGGATTCAAACAAATTTATATATTAATGTGGTGCTTTAGGCTGATAAAAAAAGGCAAAGTGTGAAAGAAGCTTTTATGAAAACAACGCATCAAGCACGGCAAGAAGCTGCACAAGCCCGAAGAGAAGAAAAAACTAGAGAACGTAAACAGAGGTTGCTTGAAGAGGAAGACCCTGAAAAACAACGTAGATTAGAGGTATTTTATCATTATACTTTATATCATAATCATTAAAGTACATCGTTAATAATCTGAATTTTACGGATTTTACTGTACTGTTGATTCCTATAGTCTTATTGGTTGCAATTTCATTTCTTTTGCCATTTGGTTTCAATTTGCATTTATCGAACAGTAACATTGGTCAATAAACTAGTAAACTGTAATTTTACTACAATTTTTTTTAGAAATTGGAGCAAAAAAGAGATTCGAAATTGCGGCAACCAAAGATAAAACAGCTTAAAATAAAGTAAAATATTGCGATATATATAATTTCATTATATACTCGAATTATATACTCTAATTATTATAATGTATAAAAAATCAATTCATAAGAAAAAAGTTTCGCTTCATGTGATCATTTTTTGTTTATTTCATTTTTGCAGGTGTTAGAATTTTGGCTGTTTGAGAATATTTTTCGGTGTGAATCGTTCAACCGGTATCGCATTTTTTCATTGTAAAAATTTTTATCGTAAAATTTGAGTCATGATAGCATTAGCAGCAATTTAAAAATATAATATCTTCGCCAATGCTTGTCGAAAAACATGAAAATGATTTAAAAACAAAATTGAGATCGGAATTTGAAATATCTACGCAATGCTCTACGCAATGCAATATAAGAGTTGCCGCATGGTCCTTAGAGGAATCACGAATATTGAAAATAAAGGCTCAGTAAATTCATTTAGTCTTGCATTTATATTTGAACTATTTAACTATCATGTTGGCTGCAGCATGATTCGTTCATTATTGCAAATTTAATAGCATTGTCCAATGTGATGTAAAATTTAATACATTTTTTTCAAATAACTATTTATCTCAAATTTAGATTATACAAAAAATTTATTAAAAATTAAAAATTTTCTTTCTTAAAACAAAATAAAAATAAAATTTTTTCTTAAATTTTACTTAAATTTTCATATCTACAAAAAAACCCAGGAAACTAAAAATATTTAGATGAAAAGCCATGTTATTTGATTGTTTGCAGTACAAATTCTATTTTTCAATTGTAAAATATGGAGAATAAATATCCCAAAAAGCATCTGAAACATATCCAGAGGATTGATATCCAGGTATAATTATTTGTTTCAAAAATTTGGATTTGTTAAGATAGACTAAAATGAATATGGCTAATAAATTATTTACGACAAGAACAACCCATATTTTGAATCAGTGGGTTTTTGAATCAATGGGTCTTATGGCCTCATAATATTAGTGCAGCATTTACAGTTTTGGTAGCTTTTAATCCATCCCAGACCACGGCAATAATGTTCCTAAATTTTACTTAAATTTTCATATCTACAAAAAAACCCAGTTCACAACTTTTGTTCACAACTTTAACTATCTCCTAAAAATCCATTATATTCATCCAACATTTACATAAGTTCTGTGTAACGCTTTCATACCCCACAAATCATCTGTTATAATCATCTAAATTATATATATTAAAAGTAAAACAGTTCACGAATATTTTTAGCAAATAAGATAGTTTCAAAATGATAAATTAATGAAAAAATGAATAAAGTGAAAATGTGAAAATTGATATGCAAAATTAATTGTAAAAGACTTAAAATTATAAATTATAAAATTGTTATAAAATATAATTATAAAATATTTAAAATTATAAGTTATAAAATTATAAATTATATAAGGCAAGATATAAAATAATAATTCGAGGCCTACCTAAATCTATTCAAAAATGAGGCCAATAAGCAAATTAAATAATTCGAAAGATTTGCTGAAAATTAATGTCCACAGTAACCAAATCATTCAACTGCTATATATTTCAGAGGCAAATAAATTTATCACATGACCTGATATGAAACAAATAAATTTAGCATATCATAATCTGACAGGAAGCGAATAATTTATCACATAAATTAACGGCAAGCAACCTGATAGGACCTCAGGTGTTCATTCGAAATTCCGTAGAATTCAATAAAATTAATTTGTTAATTTTCCGTAAGTCTATTAAGATATATTTTTGAGTTGAAATTCCAGATCTATTTTCCTCGTACTTCATCATCGTTGCCAAATATGTACCATTAAGCAGAAGTTAATATAAACGTTGCCTGTACGAAAACTCGTTCCATACTAACTTGCTTATGTTCAATCATTTTTATAGGCGTTAGATATTCACTTTTTGCTATCCGAAATCCTTCCGATGAGAAAATATCAATTAGTTCATCTGCAATTATTTTTATATTCATAATAGAAATTATTGATAAATATGAAAAAAATCATAAAACGATTAGGATTGTAGCTTTTGACATGTGAAATAATGTTATAAAAGACTAAAAAAATAATAAAATCCTAAGATATATTAGCTGGAAGAAACTGATTTTTGCAAAAAAAAAATATTTAAACAAACCGAGCATAAAATAAAATGTTCTAGTACCATCTTGGCGTGCATAAAATCGTTCAGCAATCTTCGAATTACGACCAAATCGAAGCATAGCATAATCATAAATGCCATAATCTCTTACAATAACAGTACCACCGGGTTTAAGGCATTTTTTTAAATTTTTAATTGCCACCGTTAATTTTTCGGGATGAATCGAACTGAGCACAAATATTGCAGTAATCAAATCAACAAACGAATATAACCAACAGAATTCGTGATCAGTTAAATCGCCAACGAAAACATTCACTTTTTCTTTATCGTAATTCGATTCTCTAATTCGCTTATTTAGTAAATTAATCGCATTTTTTGAGAAATCAAAAGCGTAAAATGTCCAATGATTGAATTGTTTCATTATCGGGAAAAGCATATTACCAACACCACAACCAATTTCCAAATATCTCAAATTCACCTAAAAATAACTGATAAAGTTATAAAGGATTTCGGTCCTTAAAAAATATAATTCGGATGAATCGCAATCACCACTCGGATACCATTTTAATTGACAAATTTAACTACCGTCACGAAAGTAGCTACCCAACTTTGCATGACGCCTAGATGAAGAAACGTATGGCGCGTTAAGATTTTTAAATACCCAAGCTCTAAAATTCGATTAAAAAAACGTGGCAGTTGGAGAAAATATAAGAAATGGACTGCAAAAATTAGAAAACAAACTAGACAAAATCACTGTCTAAAAAACCCTATAATAAGTATAAGCAAAAATCTAGTTTCTTTGAACTCTTAAAAAATGAAATAAGTGAAGTGTGCGATAATCGGATGTTACCATAGGATGTGGCTTAACGAAATGAAATTAGCCCGGCATTGCATTTATATTCAAAACATATAAATACACCTTATGTATTAATCTAAACTATTGCTAATTAGAATAACATTTTTTTAATAAAAAACTATCAAAAATAATTGAATTACCGATGAATCGAACGCGTCGGGAAGATATTTAACAAAATCCAATTGTGTCCATTCTCGATCCTTGTAAAATTTATCCGAATTTCTTAAATAAAATTTATCCCAATTTTGTTTTGCTAATTTTTCTAATTTTTCTTTTTTAAAATTATTCATTTCTTTTTCGTTTTTGATTTTATTTATTTCTTCTTCTTTCAATTTTCGTGGTAACTTATAGAATTCTTCTGCTTTTCTACAAATTTCATCGAACTTTCTTTTCTCATATATATTTTCCTCATCTTTACCGATATATTGCACTGCTACTGTATCGCCCAAATTCCTCCATATTGCATTCGTGCACGTTTTATCATCGAAAGTCTCCTCCATCCATCTAAAATTCAGCAACATCAACCTGGCTGCTTCAACTTAGAAGTGCGCAGAATCATTTAGAAATGGTAGATAGTTTTTGAGATTCTCAAAACCCTGTTAAATAAGTATAAAAATTAAAAATGTACAAAAATACTTGAAATTTATTAGCCAATAAGAAATTTTCTTAACTTAAGATGGAATACAAAAAAAGTATAAATAATGTTTATTTTACGCTGAAGATCATGGACAAAAATAAAATTTTATATAAAATGAATTATAATTTTCACTGCAATATTGAAAAGAGATATGAAAACGAACGAAAAGTCGCAAATTCTTCCTCTCGCTTATACTGATAATGCAATCAAAAATATTAATCAGAGAAAAAATAAATTTATTGGTTGACATGAAGATTAAAAAGATCATATATATAAAAAGTACAAATTCACAAAAAATAACGGGGACAAAGAAAATGATTAATAATAAATATATTTTTTTAAAATGAAAAATATAATAATGAGATCAAAAAAATTTATTTTAATTATTTTTAACTCCAAGGGTACTTTCAAGTTCTGCACGTTTCTGTTGTACTTTCTGATAAAGATAGCGGAAAGTAGCTTCTTGTATTTGTGGTTGATAATAAAATTCGGCACGGCGTTCGCTTTCGCTATCACCAACTACATCAGTCATTGTCTGAAAATAATTTGTTTTTAAAATGTTTGACTTTTTAATAACCAAAAACTAATTGAATTGAATATAACTCATTAGAATGAGAAATTCTAATTTAAAGGCAAATTCTTTACCTTTAAATCAGTACTTTGCGATATAAGCCATTTCTTAATGAATTCAACCGGGTTTTCTGCAAATTTAACGTAGAAATCTCTTCTCAGTTTCCATTCATTAATTTGTTCCACAATATCGTAAATTTTCTGGTCCAAAACACCTATATCAGGCATATTCGAATGATTTTGCAGAAAAGTTGCTACTTGTGCCTTCAATGGATCTTCCAATTCCACATCTGCAAAATAAATCTGTTCAACTGGCAAAATATTAATCAACTACGAAAATTAATTTAAACCAAGAAACTGATTATCATCTATATAACAAAAAATAACAAAAAATATGACAAAAAAGCACACTGGCAAAAGCACATAAATAACAAACCTATGTCGTAACAAGCAGTATTTTTTTCGTTACTTTCGTTATATTGGATAACATGAGTGAGCACAATAGGGTCAGGTTGAAGAAGCAAAGTCTGCAAACGTTGTGGGATTTCCATGAATTTTATTCGTTTACAAGCAAACACTTGCTCCAAATGCGCATCACAGTTTATATTATCTCGATCAACAGGATCCTGAAAAGTCAGTTTTCGAAACGATATAAAAATAATTCAAGTAGAATTTATTATTAACCGGAAAATTAAGACTGCGGATTAGAATCTCAAATAATAAAAAATCGGCTGAAAATTAATTCTATAAATATAGTTCTTTATATACATTCTAAAAGGGAGATAAAAAATAGACACTCTTCTACTTCAATAAAAAAACATTTCAAGGGGATGGAACACACTTGTAGCTTATGCGTCCTTATATACAACCATAAAGCTTCGATGACTTTTGCGCGCGTTTCCGTAGTCAATCCCAAAACACGACTTAAACGTGGGCTTAATTTAAATTTCATTGGTTGATGATCGAGAAGCAGCAAAATTGTACATCGCACATCACGATCACCCGGTCTCTTGACCTTAAAAAATAATCTTCAGAAAAAAATTATTCTTCTATCAACTATAACTATTCTTAAATTTTTGCAAAAATATAAAAATAATGATAAATGAATGAAAACCTGCGATTATCGATTTATTATTACAACTTATATTAATAAATAACAAAGAAAAGAACCTGAAACCCATCTGTTTCGTTTGTTTGTGGTGTACGATGCCATTCAACCAAGTGGTTATCAGGACCGTATATATCTTTATCAAGTTCAATAACAAGACTTTTGAAAAATGAGCTAAATTTGCGTTTCGGCTGTTGCGCTCTATTTTGCATGGTTCCGCCAGGATTTAAAGTGCTTGGCAACGGTTGTTCATCTAGAAGTCGACCTTCCACTCTCAATTCCCACATTGGCACACCTTCTTCACTTTCTCTCTGGAAGCAGATTCCTTACTTTTTCTTTTGTAAAGAATCCTTGAGTTACATCCCTGAGAATTCGCAAAATCAGACAACATAGGCAAAATTTCTTTTTTTTTAAGGAGTCATCTTTTGGACAGGTTTACTCCTGCTAGGAATAGAACCTCAGCGCATCGGCGCTCTTAATTGAGGAAAAACCCATTGAGCCATTCTATCCCATAGATGTGCAAAATAAGAAAACATAAAAAGTTCATAGGCCATAATTGAAAATTAGAAATTACTGAATAAAAAATCTGGTAAGAAATAACCTCTGGATCTCTGCCGAGGAACGAGTGCGATATATAAATGCGTAATCGTCTTTTCACTTTCGACGGTCTTTTCAAATACTCTTGCAAATCGATTTTCTTTCTGGCAATTGTTGAATCCAACTTTTGTTCAAATGCAAGCAAATCCATATAAGCTTGCGATTCTGGTACCAACAAACGCACCTGAAATTCACCAAGTCATTTCAAATAAATTTTTTTGTGGTAAAATTAAAAATGAAAATTTGCAAAATGCTAAAACGTTAAAAATTAAGAACCTTTTCTGGCAAAAGTTTATCGGCAAAGCGTCTCTTCTTTGCACGATTTTGCATCTGCGTTCGTGGATTATTATGTTGAGGTAACACTGGTGGAGCACCTGACATTTGAAATGATCGTCTACCACTATGCTGTTGCGTGTTAGTATTTGTACCATATCTCACTGCTCCATTACTCATAGGTGACGAACTTACTGCTGCATTACCACGAAGCATCGCTGTAAACTTATATATTAACAAAGGAGTATTTTTAGGAGTATAAAAGGTGTGTTGGAACACAAGAAAATAAAATTTAACAAGTCATAAAAATTTTTTCTCGTTATATATTTTCAAAAATTTATAAACAAAAAAGGAAGAAAACCGACAAGAAAATCCGAGGTTGAAATCTACAGATGAGCCCATAATGCAATTTCATCTAGCGCACTTCTAAAGTTCCAATGAAAATAAATAATGAATATCAATATCTCATGTTAAATTTATTTAATTCCTGAAGTGGGCGGATTTCACGCCCCACGAAACTTTTTAGGTTATCCACTGAGAATAGGATTTTAGCCAGGTTGACAAGTAAAAAAGACACTGCAGAATGGACCATATGGGAAATTCATTTTAGGCAAATTCGACAAAACATAAAAAAAAGAAATCATTATTAATTAATTAACCATTATTAAATAATTAAACCATAATTAAACCTTGCAGCGATATATTTCCAAAATTCTCATCGCAATTAATGCTAAATTTTTCTATAATTTAAAGGAAAAGAGAGAAAAAAAGGAAGAAAAAAAAGGAAAAATTTTTAAAAAATTCACGAATTCAAAAATTCCAATCTCAACTAATTTCACCTTTTAAAATTAATGTTACTTAACCGATTGATTTCCAAATGACTTCGAGCAACTCACTTGGATTTCTATTGCTAAATGATTTCCTGGCAAAACTGGTCACATCCGATAAGCCAGCGGGTCGTCACACCGAAACCAGAAATACCGAAAGTCTTGAAAAAAACGAAATCACCAACTTGCACAGAAGACTAAATGCCACTAAAAATCGGCTTTGGCTTTTAGTTAGAAAAATCATCACTAACAATCAGCTTGCAAATGCCACTAAGAACCGGCTTCGGTTTTCGGTCAATGACCAAATCATGTGCACCATTTCAAACGCAATTTTCCAAAACATGGCAAGCACAATTATTTTGGAAGTATGAATGGGTTAGACAGTTCATCTTGTTCTTAATGAGGTTCGACCTGGTTGACCTTTAAGGTTAGGTGACCTGGATAGACGATAGAGGTAAATTTTAAAAATTGGTAGACAAAAAAATTCCTTAAAATTTATGGTCGTCCTCTATAAATTTATACATCACTGAGTTGCTATTCACAAAATCTTCGCTGACTTTATATATTGACTGGTCAATTACCGCTTTTAAATTCATCCATCGTAAGACCTAACGAATTGTCGTTTCCTGTTGTTGGACAAAAAAGAATATGGCGTAATCAGTAGATGGTTTTCAAAGGCCAATGCAATCATTTTTCACTGTCGACGAGAGAAAAAGGAATGGCTTCTTTTACTATTAGCGATAGCCGCTTGGAGACGTCTTACCCTTGTAGCCAGCGAAGTTAGCTTAACCAGTGATGGCGAGAACTATTAGAAGAAGAAAGAGAATAAGCAACTACCTTATTTCACCTTAGTCGATTTCATATTCCCGATTCTTTATACGAAAACATGCTGTATGAGGTTACTAAGGTCTCTGAAGAAGAATATCGTGTTGCATCGTAATGACTCGAAGACTGTCAGTGATTATATTATGGACAATTTTATCAGTCCTTAATTCTTGTACTAAAGAAATCCGAAAAGTAATAAACATTAAGAAAAGTAACGTTGAGATTAGGTCGGGTAAAATTCTAAAGTAAAAATTATGTTCCCACCGACCCACCGATTATTAGCGGTTACTCAAATTCCAGACTTTAGCGACAGGAAAAGAACATGGATTAAATCTGTTTAACTATTTAGTCGATACTCTAACTGTTTCTTTATAAAATATAAAGTAAGTATTTTTAATTTATTCAATGATTTTTTTCTAATTATTAATTATTTCTAATTAATACTAATTATTTCTGGCTAGGCTCGTTTCGCTTACTTATCGGACCAGAAAAACTTTGCAGATTTTCAACTGCCGATAGAAATGCAGGTGAATCGCCAGCATCACCTGGATTTTTGAAAGACGGGTTTACTCGAGATGCAAGATCGAACTCCCAATATCAGTGCTCCGAAACGAGACTAATGACCGATAAAAATAACGATTCAACTAAATTTATCGTAAAAACTAATATTATCGTCAGTTATCAATAAAAATCATTGGAGCCATTGAACAATTAGAAATTCTTCAGTGAGACGATTTGAATTGGCGCGTACCGTAGTTTGATGTTCATGTTTACTTGGACTACGCATATGACAGAAAATTATCTTCTATATTCGTGATCGATTTATTGTGCAATTGAGCGGTGTTGATGGGCGGTTGCGTTGTTACGAAGGTTATGCGGTGATTTGTTCGGTGTTCGTTAGTGGTGGTCGTTCTGAAGTGAATTGGTTCGAAAATCAAAGGATGATTATGGAATTACGTTCTTGTGCTGCAAATTTATCAATCATCAAGTTTTACTGGTTTTTTTATGTTTTTTTTGTTTTTTTGGACTGTTGCATTAGTTAAGTCGATTTATGTGAAATAAATAAATACTTTTTATGTTAATTTTTAGAAGCAGAATAAAAAAGAAAGAAAATGTGATTTTTCACTCGTTTATTCGTTAACATTTAACTGTTTTTCTTTTTTCAAATAATCGTTAACGGAATTCTTTGATTTTTCATTTATTAGGAAATTTTCTAGTAATTTTTCGGTTAGTTTGTTTAATTCATGTTTAAATGATTTCCACCTTTTTAATAATTTCTTCATAATTTTTTTCGAAATATTACGTTAGTCGTGGGGCGTTATTTTGGTTTTTTGAAGAAATTATTGGAACGGTTGAAATCATTAATTTACGACCGCAAAGCGAATTGTTTATTATTTAGAAGTGTAAAAATAAAAAATTGATTGAATGAACATCAAACGAACTTCGACCAATAGCTTGAACTCGGATTTGCGATAATAATTTTCTTTTAACCCATGAGATAATAATTAGTTTTGTTATGGAGCGTTTGTGCTCCGGAATTTTTCCTTTGCTATATTTCGAATAAAAATTTTACAATGAAGTTTATTATATTTCCTTTATCTTATTATCCCTCCAGGTTTTAGTCAATAGATTTTGTTAGTATTGAAATTAAAATGCTAATAATTGGTGAGGTCCACGCGGATCGTTCTATTTAAGGATTTAAGCAATTTGGTGCATGAATAAATAATGGTATTTTACACATACGTTTATCAGTCTTATATGAAAGAGTGAAAACTGAATTCAGTCGATGAACTAGCTTCAGTGGTGTTAGTACAAGAAAATTTTGTCAAATATTTGCCTATCGGTCGAAAATTTTCAGCTGATATTTTGCGCATATTTTCACGGATCGAAGAAACGGATATTATGAAGGCATCAAAATAGTTTGGGGCATTTTTATTTTAGTTTTCTATTATAATTTTAGCTTTACAGAGCAATTGATTGGGTAGTTTATGTGAACAGTTGAAAAATGTTCTTTTTTTATATTGGCCGGATTATTGGCCACTTCTTATTTTTTATTATTTTTTCTCATACAAAGTATTTCTCAAATGCTTCTATCAGTTTTATATTCATTGGAATTACTAAAAGAATTGCAAATCTCATTTTTATATGTGCTGATTTAAAAAATATTGTTGAATTGCGAACGTTAGAAGTGAATTATTGGGATTTTAAAAAATATAACAGGATTTTTTAAAATTGAAAAGGATGGAATAAGGAGTTTAGAGTATCCTTTTGACCTCCAAAAATGTCCCCAATTAAAAATAAAATTCGGGTTAAAAAGTTGAAAGATGTGGTGAGGTGATGAAGCGATGGATATGGAGTGTGTCTGTCACATACAGCTGGTTTGATGTTTTCCTAATAGATGAAAAGATTAAATTAAATGGTTGGGAAAGAATGAACCGCGCGCACAAAATCGGTGTGGTTCGGTTAATGATGACACAATCAAACCGGTTGGTGTAAATCGTCATCGGTGATATTTTTTCTCATAGATGATTTCGGCGAATTAGTGATTTGATGTATGATCCAATTGATTATTTGCATTGTAAATTTGTCGATGCTTATGATTTTTTTGTCGATGCTTATGATTTTGTGTTGTTCATAATCATAATTATCGATCGTATCAGGTGAAATCAAAGAAAAAACATAAAAAATGTGCAAAATAACAAGGAAAAATTGGGGTGTGGTTGAATAGAAATTAGGGAAATCGGTGAGAATGGATGAAATAAAATAAATAAAAGATTGGTCAGCTGGTCGGTTTGGTGAGGTCAGTCAGTGAGAGTCATTTAAAATGGCACACAAGAAGTGAGTTTAAACAGGTCAGTGCGGTCAGTATGATAGTTGGCTGGGAGGAGATGAGCGGATAGGTTGTAAGGGAAAAAGACGTAAAGAATATGGGGAATTGCAAGATAGGGGCTGGATGGTTGGGGAGGTTTTGAAAGAGGTGTTGGTGAACAGGCTTAGGGGAATGCTGCAAAGGTTTGTGGGATTAAGACTGGCTTTCTGCAGCTAATTGCAGGGCTGTAGGTTAGGTAAGTTGGGGTAGAGAATGCATCTCAGATGCGATTATGTCGAACCGGAGGATAGAAAGGTGAATTGCAAATTTTATTGTCACCGATAAAATCACCAATCTCATATTTTGGAGACAGTATGGAGAGACTAGGTTGGCCCACCTCTGGCTGCGAAAGATGTTTTATGTGGAACCAAAGTATTTAACTAATATGAAATTCGCGAGCGGTATTGGTGCATGCTTAGTGAAGAGTGCCTAAATAATTTGAGTACCATTTTTTTTTTTTTTTTGATTTGGTTTATTTGTCGATTTTGGCGTTTTAAAATTCCTTACGTAAGTATATGCGGCGTTAGTTCTGCGTCGAATGGAACAATCTTTAAAAGAGTTTATTTTGCAGACAGTTGTTTTTTAGACGTTAAAAAAATGGCCAGAACGGCAGAAGAGGCTGCTGTTGAATACAGGTTTTTCATTCATTACATTTTCACTATTTTATGATTCATAGTGGCCCCGATGAAGTCAGAATTATGAGTAGAATTCACTGGACGTTTTGCTATTCCCATCTGGAATTGTCATTTTACGGGAAAGGGGGGGGGGGAGGGGGAGGAGAATAAATTGACATTCAAATATTCCGGGGAAATCTTTATATTCACTTTTTTTCTGCTTTTCCTATTATTAATAAAAATTTTAAAAATTTTTAATAAAAATAGAATTAATGCATTGGAGGGAGGGGTGAGGGGAGGAGGAAATGGAAGAAGGAGAGAGATGTGCCAGTTGTAATTCATAAGGGGCGAATTAATGGATTGTAAAAGTTATTTTTTAAAAAAATATTTTTTTGATTTAAAAAACTATAAAAAATAAAAATGGAAATTTTAAATTACAGACAAGCGCTCGATGACTTAAAAGACAACAATAAAATGCAAATAAATTTGATGACAATTCTTGCCGATGATTATAATTCGTATTCCAAGGAAATTATCGATGTAATTGCACAACAAATTGAAAAAGTTTGTTTGAACTTTTTTTTTTCGAAATTCGAAATTTTTCATAAATTTATTTCTTTTTTCTTTTTTTCTCATTATTTTTTTAAAGAGAATTAATTGCATTTATCAAATATGTTAAATTTTTTATTATTCGAATTAAACAATTGTTTTCTTATATGCATTTTTAGGAAAATTTTTGCCCGAAAATCGTCAATAGTTATTTGGCGATAGAAATGTAAAATAAGTGGCGAGTACCATTGGAATTTTTGTAGGACGCGAATTTAATTTAAATGAATATCATTTTAGGTAATTCCATCGCAAAAATTAGCAGTTATGTATGTGATGGATTCGATTTTAAAGAATGTCACTGGTGCTGGCAATTATAAAGAACATATTGAAAAAATTGCACATCGAGTTTTTGTTCATACATTTGAAATGGTAAATCCTTTTTTTTTATTCACTTCTTTGATTTAGCAAATTATAAGAATATTAAAAAAATTTTTTTTATTGCATATTTTACATATTGTACATTTTTATTTTTTATTTCATAGGGTGATGAAAGAACTCGTCTATCATTGCATAAATTGCGGCAAACATGGACGGGTATATTCCAAAAGCATACTTTATATAAAATTGATTTGGCTGTGCATGCTATTGATCCCGCTTGGCCTGTTGTTACTCCTCAACCAAGCCATATGTCTACAAGGTCAAATCATGCGACATTGCTTCAACACAAAGCTGCACCTAAAGTTCACGTAAATCCTCATTTTCTTCAGAAAAGTTCAAGTTCCAGTTCGGAAAATGAAAATCAGCAAATGGTTAGATTTTTTAAAATATTCACTAAGTTGGTGATTTTGTTGTATCAATAAAAGCATTTAAATTTGCGGTTTATTTTTGAGGGTTTTGAAATTACTAATTTAATTTAATTTATTAAATTTTTAGTCAACATTTATTCCGTATTATTATATTCATCCAAAATATAATAGTTTTCTTAGCTTCCGATCAGCGGAAAGCGGTCCAATTTGGATCCACGATTAGCTAAATATGAAAATCGATCAACTATTACCTCCAAAACAAATGCAGATATTTCAAATAGCAATGGGATAACCAGTAAGGATGTCTCGGTAGTTATAAAAACAGAACCCATGTTAGTAAATTCTTACCACTATTTTTTTCGTTGGCTTTTTAAAATATTTTTCATTATAATATTTTAACGCCATTGTTATTTTTATTTTCTCTTTATTCTTTAGTTCTGCATTATTTTAGAAATGAGCAATTTATTTAAAAAAAAAATGATTTCAGACAACCGAGAGGTGATGTAGATGAGCGACAATTTTTGCTAAGGCAAGCGGATGAAAAATTAGAATTTCAACGCACTTTCCCTTTAAGGTTAGATTTTTTACGTCGTTAAGAGATCAAGAATTTGTTTATATTATTTCAATCGTAATCACTAATGATAAATTTGTTATTGATGAATATATAAGGGATAGATTGGCTCATAGGGTTGTTTTGAAGCGCCGATGCTGGGATTCTACTTCCGGCTGTAGTAAACATCTTTCAGAAATCCGGGTGATGCTGGCAATTGTACTTCTATCGCCAAGTGTTCCCTTGCAAAATTTGCCTGGTCCGACGAGTGTGTGGAGCCTAATCTGAGATAGTGAGTATTAAAGTAAAAGATCAATATGTAATAATTTTTAGGAGGAATAAAGCTTTGGAAAGTAGTGGTCGTTCTCCAACGGAATTTAATGGTTATAAAAGGAAAACTGATTTGTCAAATGACATTGAAGAAAAGAAGGCACGAATTGTTCGATCACCTCCACGATATGATAAAGGATCTCTTCCAATAAATTCTACCACTGTGATTCGCCCAACCAATGATTTAGGATCGCATGCATTTATAACAACTCAGATTCCTGCTGCATCTCAAAATCTCGTGGCTAATCCTGGTTTACCTATGTACCCGTCAACTTCAACAGCTTTTGTTGCTGGTTCCGTGCATCCTGTGGCAGTGCCAGTACCTGTGCCAGTTCCAGTGCCAGTAACCGCTGTGCCAGTATTTGTTAGTTCAGGCATAGAACCAGTGAATGCAAGTCGTGGTTTTCCTGTTGCTTCTACAGTGGTGCCAACTGTCACACCACCTATTATTTCTTCTGATACGCCAAGATTAGAAGGAATACCCGCCAACAATAGAATATTTGTTGATGGAAGAGCTTATGAAGTGTCTTATATTAATGATGTACCTGTTATTGAAAGGAATAGCCTTCCTCATAGGTAATTTTTTGAAATATGTTTAAAGATATGTTTGCAATTTTTAAAAAGGAATGTTCTTTTCTAAAGTTTCTTTTATTTTACAGGGGATATTTTTAGGATTTATTTTACGGGTGCTCCGAGAAACGTAATTATTGATGGTGTTGCACATTTAATGAGTTTCGGTGAAGAGAAAAAAGTAATCATTGATGGCGAAGAACATGTTTTAAGGTTTTTCTGAACCGAATTTATAGCAAGCTTTTGATTTGTGATATTTACTAGCTTGTATTATTTGATATAATTATAATGAGTATAGTCATTATAGTACATAATCAATATATAGTTCATTGTAATTTTGATGCATTTAGATTTGGCGCACCTTCCCGTGAATTATACATGGGAAATTACCCATTTAAGGGCGCATTTGGTGGTCCACCAATATTTGCTACAATTAATGGAGTACGGCACGAGATAAGGTGAATTACTTTTTTTTGGCGGGATAATATTTTTTATTCATTTTTAAATAGTATTTCAATTAAAATTCTCTATTTTATTTTTATACTTTATTTTAGGTTGGGTGGTCCTCCACCTGAAGTAAAGATTGAGCCTGATCCATGTTATGAATTATTGAGGCATATGCCGCGCGCTGGTTTGAATTCAAGTAGGAATTCTGCACCAAATCTTTCTGCTCAAAACGGTAATTTTGGTTTATCGTTTAAATTTAGATTTTTTTCTCATTTTTTCTCATTTTTCGAAATGGATATCTTTTTTCTAAATTTTTTATTTGATGACGAATTATTTCTGTTATAGAAAAATCATGTTATCGAAAGCCCTTTTGTTACCGTATTTTGTTCTTAAGCATTTAGTGCAACAACATGCTTTTCATAGTTTGTTTCCAGGAAGTGAACAGCAATCGACACTGGATGTCAAAGGATTGCTGGCAAAACTTCAGAAATCTGGTATTTTATCTGCTATTTCAAATAATCGTAAGGAAACAACGGATAATGATTTGTCCCACCGATCTATTACCCCACCTATCCCATCAGAACACCGTGGAGTTACTGAGCGGTTACCAAAGCCTCCATCAGATCTCAAAGACTTTTCAATGCGTGCTCTAAAAATGTAAGCTTTTCAGTAATTTTTAGCATCTTTTTTGAAAGCCCATGTTGATTTTTCTTCTACAAAGCTAATTCTTCTTTTTATCTTATGCGATACTTTTTAGCCGTTACGACTCTGTGGTTGCAAATCTACACAAGGAGCGTAATCTTTGTCCAAATTGTGGGTTGAAATTTGATGATTTAACAAGTGAAGCCTACAAAAATCATTTGGATTGGCATTTCCGAGAAAATATAAAATTCGTAGCGAAATTCAAAAGTCGTTGCAGACCCTGGTATTTGGAACAAGAGGTAATTGATTTTTAAATTTTTTTGCTGCATTATGAAATTTTAATATTTACTGACGTTTATTTTTTATTTTATCTTGTTGAAATTTTTTATTTTGTTATGTTCGTTTCATATTTTTTCATTTAGTTCATTTCATTTATGTTTCATCGGGTTAAATAATTTCAGCTTTGGTCAGAGCGTGAAATAAGGGAAGTAACGGCTAGTACTTCAGTGCCTGGTTAGTATTTTTTATCTACTAAGTAATATGATTGTTTGTTTGAAATTGTTTAAAAACAAGAATAGGATGGTGTTCGTACTTTGCAATTGGTTTTGCGTTGGAAATACTGGTTTTTTCTTTTTGCGCATAATTTATTTCATTCTAATTATTTTTCTCTATTTTTTCTTTGAATATGTTTATTATTTCGGTATATTTATTTGATTTTATAAGATCGAACCGAAATAGAAGATTCCACTAAAGAAACGAATGTTCCTTGCGATGCCGTCGTATCTAAGGTAATCTTTATAATGTAATTTTTGAAATTTTGTATTATGATCGGAAAAGTCCTTTTGTTTTTTTTTTTATTGAAAGAAAAATTATTAATTAATGAATATAAAAATTATTAAGGAAAAATTTTCAGCAGTTTACCTATAAATATTCTAGGAATGTGGCGTATGCCAAGAAAAGTTTGATGAATATTGGGATGAAGAAGATGATGCTTGGAAATTAAAGGATTGTACAGTGGGAACAGATGGACGAGTAAGTCTTCTTTTCCATTTTTTGAATAGCGCGGTTTGATTCGAGCCGATTTTGGTAAAATAACTCGATCAAAAAATTTTTTTTAGGGTTTTCATCCAGCTTGCATTTTGGACGATACAACTGTTCTACAAAGTCGTTCAGAAGATTCTCCTAGTGAAGATGAACACTGTGATGTATCACTATTAAAATTTGCCGGTGGAAAATTAAAAAATAATCTTTCCCTTGCCTTTCATTGATAATTAAACACAACAATCAGACACATTTATTTATACATGTCAAGTTTATCATTTTTTTTTATCACGATGCATGTTAATTTCGCACATAACAGATCAAACATTAATGAACATATAAGCGAATGGATCTATTTCGCTTCATCATCATAAAAAGAGTTGTAAATAAATAGCGTGGCAGTTTATCATTGTTTCATCGTTTCATTCTTCGTCGCATTCGTGGATACACAGTCGTGACGTAAAATAAGATATTGGATTTTTTTTTTAAATAAAGCTTTGACTATATGTTTGTTTTTTCTCGCATTATAATTTAAATAAAATTTAGAGAATAAAGTTTTTCTATGAAAAAGCTGTTGAATTACATCGCACTTTGTTTGCTCAACCGAAATACTGATAAAATCTTCAGTTTTTTGAAGTCGATCTTTTATGTTTTGTGCCTTATTTGAGTTAATCAAAAATTCGACCATAGGATTAGCAGTTGCGTGAATTTGCAGGTGTTTGATAATGAAAATCGGTTAGTCGGAGAGATGTTTCTACAGTGATAAAAGTGCCAAGTGCCAATAGTAATAGAAGCCAACCGACATAAGTTTAGGAACAGATTAGGAAGGGGATTACTTTCGGGCACGAGAAGATTCCATAGGATGAGAAGAAGATTGGGAATTCTATTTTCAGCCAATTATTGCTCATATATTGATGGGTATTGAACATAAGCTAACTAATCGATGAGTTGTTATTTGTGTATAATTGTCGATTGTGATTCAAATCATTGGGGTGAACTAATCGAAAAGGAAAACAACGATGATCTATTCGATTTTCTCATCGAATCAATTATGGCGTTTGCGGTTGCCCATCTTTCATTTCAAGCGAGTAATCGAATTGCGATATTTGGCGTCGATTCCACACTTCACAATCCTCTTTTATATTCATCGCTTATCTCATCGCAGGTTTTTTTTATTTATTTCAAAAAATCTTTTTTTTTTTAAAGAACGCTGACATTTTCGGTTAAACAAACCCCAACTGGTTTGTCGGTATTTTATCAAATAATCATTTGGTCATATAAGCAAATAGGTAGGATCGACAACGATTTTTGAAAGATCGAATTATTCCTGAATAAAAAGTAAGAAAATAAAAAGTAAGTAAGTAGTTTAGCGCTAAAGAATGAACGCAACGACTCATTTTGAGATATTCTGGAATTTTCGGTTATTTTTATTTTATTTATTTATTATTCGTATTTATTATTATAAATTTTTTCATTATTTATTATGAATTTTTATAAATTTTCCAAATTTTTTTTCTTTTTAAATGGAAAAATGATCTTCGCTAATTTCCAGTTAGATTTAATGTCTATAGTAAATGATCGACTTATTGAAGTTCTTACTGCTTCGGCAGAAAATACGAACAATACGACTAGCAATAATAAGCTTTGCTCAGCAGTTACAGCTGCATTTTGTCGTTAGTTTAAAGTTTTTCATTCTTTTTTCATATAAATAAATAAAAATGGTTTGAATCCAGTTGTTTTTTAGGATAAGACAAACATTGAATAAATTTATCACTTTTTTCAAAAAAATATGATTTTTTCTTTTTTTCTTCTAAGAGTACGCGTTGTTTCGGGTTTAGCTAACTGTTAGACTACTAGAATAAGGTTTCTTTTTATGTCCTTCGATTTAGTGTAAAATTATCTGAAGTGAAACTTCTCTGTTTAAATAATATTTATTCTTCTGTTCTTCTGTTTTTCTGTTTCTTTTGTTTTTAATTTATAATATTTATTCGTGATAAATTGGGAAGTTCAGAATTGAATATATTCATATTTAGATATAAATCGATTTAAAAAAGAAAATGGAGATAGTGAGGGTCGTATTTTAATAATAAATATGGGCGGAAATCTGGCTCGACAGCAGAATTCTCTAATGAATGTATTTTTTGCTGCTCATAAGCACAATATAGTTGTAGATGTTGCAGAAATTGGTTGGTTTTTTTCTTTTTTTAATTATTTGCTGCGATTAAATATTCTTAAACTTCAAATTTCTACGTTTATTTTGGTTATTTTTTTTTATTTCTTAAAATATTTTTTATTTTTCGCATTAATTTGAAAAAAAATAAAATCATGAAAAAATATGAAAAATAAGCATGAAAAATTCTGCGTCAGCTGGATAAATTATCGGAATTTGCAAAGTAAATTCTTTCTTTTTCATTACATTTTAAAACTATGTTTTAAATATAGAAATTGACTTGAAATTCCGGTTAAGGAAAAGATTTTTTTTAGGCAAACCGAGTCCTGTTCTTCAGCAAGCGGCTGATATTACCGCTGGAATCTATTTGTCGATTGAAAAACCGTTTCAAATTTTTCAGAAAGTCACGGTTGGTTGATGTTTGTTTCCTTTGTCTTATTGTAAAATCTCTTATGTTAAAATGGTAAAGTAATTTCGATACGAAGGGAATTAATGTAAAATTGATTTTTATTCATTAAAATATAATGAAAATTCTTTGGGAAATTATTTGTAAAATTGACTATTAGGATGAGCGCTTATTTATTTTATTATTTATTTATCATCTAGTATAGCGTCATTTTTCATTCATTTTTCATTTTTTGCGAGATTTCAGTCTATGGTTCTTGGTGATTTATCCGGTCGGTCAATATTTAATTCATGGGTGCCACCTAGCGTTGATTACCGAGCCAGCTGTCACTGTCATGGGACGCCGGTCAGTATAGGATGGGTTTGTTCGGTGTGCCTTTGTATTCAATGCCAGTTTGCCCCGATTTGTCCAATCTGCGGGTAGTTACAATTAATAGTTTATTAATAATTTATTAATAGTTTATTTATTATCGTACTACATAATATCGGATTTATATCATTTGATAAATAACTCAATAATTGAACATAAATTTTCAAATTTTTACAACATACTTATAAATTTTATTGCAGAACTGTATTCAATATAATGGGATTAGCGAGGCGATCACGTAAACGTCGAAAAGAAGGTGCATAAACCGGTTTTTCGATTTATGATCTCTTTTTGTTTTTGTTTTTAATAATATTTTTGCTTGATTTATATCTTTTTATAGAAATTATTAACAGTACTGCGTTGACAAAATAAATAGCAAAACAAACAACACAAATTGTTCGAAGATAAACTAATACAAAAAATAGATAAACTGATAGAATATTCATTAGAACGGAAGTAATAAGAGATAGAAAAGCTGAACATCGATTATCGAAGAACTGGAAAAACATAAAAATAATATAAGTTATAATACCAAAGACTGGATTCTTCTGAAATTAATTCCTTATTAGATTTCGATTTGACAATTTATTTTTTAGTTTTTCTCTGCAATAGGCATTATTTGGCTGGCCGACTCCTCTTATTACTAGGATGAGCGTCGATGCGGATAAAAGTAAGATAAGAGTCCCAGAATAGTCATTTTATGAAATGTTTCTATTAGTAAAAATAATAAAAATATATAAAATAATAAAAATAACTCAATTATTATTTCTTAAATAATTTAAATACTCTTGGAAAATATTTAAGAAAAGCTAAATTTAATCTAAAATTTATCTTAAATTAATCATTAATTAATTAGCGAACATAAATGAATAGCGAACCTGATTTAGTAAATGATTTGCTCCAAGAAGAGGTTCAACGATACCGAGGCCAGTTCCAAACGATGAGCGGAAAGCTTTAGAGCAGCTTATATAAGTAGCGATATCGCACATTGGTTGATAAACTTCTCCCAAATGGTCCAACTTGAATTCAACATACAATCCATACAACGACAACAAAAAGCCTATGGCCGCTATTAAAAAATTTAAAATCCTATATAACATTGGTGATAACTGCAACACACATATATACATAAATATGTGGAACAAGAGAAAAGAGAGCCGGATGCTGATTATCGAAAGTGTGGTACTCTTGCGAGACTTCCAGTCTTTTCCAGAAGTTCGACAAGTGGGAGCGCTGCGTTTATCGAGTTTTTATTGAAAATTCATGAAGCAAGAACGATGAAAAAATGACTTTCTGTCAATCGACTTTCTTTTGTATAAAAATGGAATAATCGGATTGTTTTATCATAACATTAGGTGATTTCTCAACAAACGCGTTAAAGAAACTAATAAATGAGCAAGGTTATGGTGGTTTAGCTCGGGTCAAAGGTGAGGCGAGTTATGGTGGTTTAGCTCGGGTCAAAGGTAAGGCGGGTTATGGTGGTTTAGCTCGGGTCAAAGGTGAGGCGGGTTATGGTAGTTTAGCTCGGGTCAAAGGTGAGGCGGGTTATGGTGGTTTAGCTCGGGTCAAAGGTAAGGCGGGTCATGGTGGTTTAGCTCGGGTCAAAGGTGAGAGAGGTTATGGCGGCTAAATTCAGACCAAACACGTGCTTTCAGTATATTAGATTATCTTGTTAAACTAAGAAAAAACTGAATTTTCATTAGATCGTCGGGTTGAGGCAAATAAACCGCTCGAAGAAATACGAACATTAATCAGGACAAATCAACTAACCAACCTTATTTTTGAAATCGACCTAAAATTTCAAGAATAGTTTCCCATTCCTTTCCAAACTCCATTATTTATAGCGATTGAAAAAATAAATGCACCAGGAATTGTGCGTCCGCGGCTGTCATTCAAAACTCATAAATATCGGTGCGGCTCATTGAATTATGCGACGAAAGTCTTTACCATTTCATTTCATTTTAATTTTTATAATTTCAATAAATGGAGTCGAGTTCAAATCAAAAAAAAAGTGTGTTTGAATATATAGTTGAATCGAATCGAAGTATTCTCTTTAACGCGTTGGATTCGTTCGATGGTGAAAAAGTAATTGTTTGGGATTCGTCGTTAATTAAAAAATTTGATTTGGTTAGTAATTAATTTTTTTTCCAAAAGATTCCAAAAGGGTTCGCCGGGAGAGGCAAATTTTGCCAGTCACTTGGCGATAGAAATACGGACGAGTCGCGCAAAAGCGCTGTTCTTGCGGAGAGTAAAGGAACGCCACCGCTGTTCCCGCGGAGAGTAGAAGAATACCACCGTTGTTTCTGTAGAAAGTAAAAGAACTAACACATCTGGAACAGTGGCAACAACGAGAAAAGGCCATTGAAGAATTCTAACAGAAATTATTTATTTAATTAAAATTTTAATAATGATTTTAATGATTTTAATGATAAAATTATGGAAAAATAAGAGATGGAAATTTTATTACAATTTTTTGCCATTTTTTTTATATTTAAATATTATTTAAATTATTCTTTGTTTATTTTTTTTGTTTTATTAAATATTATATTATTTATAGTATTTGCACAAAATTTAAAGTTTGCTTTATACCCAATTTCATTTTATATAAATTGAAATCCTTAAAAATTTTAAAAAAGAATTTTATTTTCGTTGAGAATTTAATTTTAAAGAGAAATTTTTTCTCAACATTTTTATTTTTTTTCTTTTTTTTTTAAGATTGCAACAGCTGAATTATTAAAAGAACATAAAGTCGTTTCGATGTTGCAACTTGAACGAGTTCAAGGAATATCGTTAGCTGAACACAATCATGTCATTTATATTTTACCATCTTCTCTGGCAGTTATCAATAAACTAAACGCATTCCTGAATGAAGCTCGTGCAAGAAAAGTACGAAATACGATTTGCTTTTCAACTTTATCACGCTTTTTGGAAGAACTCGAGCTTTATTACTTTGACTTCGACCCTGAGGTTCGCTGTCTTTAATTAGTCCAGTTTTAAGGATCGGCATCTGCATCATGTTTTGTTTGTACCAGATGCAGCACTGGTTTTATGCGATAGATTAAAAGAAAATCGTGAAACATTTTCGATGCTGAAAACTGTTGAATCGCTTCCTTTGAGAATATATCCCTTATACACCGATCATTTTATTTTATTTATGGACGATATGCCAAGTAAAGTTTTGTTAAATGATGTAAGTCTTGTCGCATTTGCCTCATTTTTTATTTTATTTTATTAAAGGTTCCACAAATCACATCAATTTGTGAATTCTATTTTGTGGAGAAAAGTTTTTGGGATTTTATGAAACTGTTTATGATTGTTTAGAATAGATTTTTCTCGTTTTATTTATTTCTTTTTCTATCGGTACCGTTCAAAGTTGGATTAGGTGAGACTTTAATGTTATTTGTCTTTAATGTTATAAAAGTATAGGTAGGTGCAGCCTTTGACCTTTGACTCTAAAGACTGTGAGCAGCCATCAGAAAAGGCAAGTTTAGCATTTCAGGGAATAGCAATGATTGATCTCTATTATGAAGCAATATTTGTTACATGCACTTGTCTTTCCACTTATTTCTTTACTATTAATTTCTATTTCTTTACTAAATGTTATCTTCTTTTTTGTGTAAAAATAAATTTTTTGTAAATTCTTTTAAGGATTGGATCGAATTTCAAAAATGTGCGTTGGCTTTACGTCAAATGGAAGAAATTTTTCAGTGTTTACCAAATATACGATGCAAAGGTAAATGGGCTGCACAAATTGTTGATATACTGAAAAAGATGCGCAACAATGTGAATATTTGTAATATTTTTGCCACTTCTAATCAAAAGCATGTTTAATCAAAAGCATTTTTAATCAAATTTTTTAAATTTTATTTTCAAATTGCCAACTATATATTTCTTTTATAGTGTGAATATTCAAATCGTCACCATGAGGAACGCAATATTTCTGACTTTATTATAATTGATCGTTGGTTGGATCCGTTGACTCCTTTGTTTATTCAACTGACTTATGGTGGACTTATTGATGAAATTCTGAAAATCGGACCTTCAGGTAGGTTACGTTGGCTTGTCTGAGCTTGATTTTTACAAATCTGGTTTATGGGCGATTCCATTCTAGTTTCCACATAAATTTTAAATTAACTTATTTAAATTAACTTTAAATTAACCATATTTTACCTAAATAGTTAATAGAAGATAATTGGCAAAATTGTCGTGACGAATAAGGCTGATTGGCAAGATAATGATTGTCTGAGCATAACTCTTCGTCAGTATTAAAAAAATTGATGCTGAAACTTTATTTTATAACCTCATCATATCAATAAAGCTTAAATTGTATGAGAGCACAAAGGTTCTCAAGGAAAATGATGGATGAGTATGGCGAAATTCGAGGTTTTAAGAAAATATAGTAGTCTGAGATAATACGGAAATTAAATATACGGAAATTTTAATGGTTTTCGTTTGAATAGAAGAATATAATGGAGTTTGACAACAACTGTTGAAATAAATTGGTGTTTCTTAAGGCACCGATGTTTAAGAGATTTTGTTGGATTGCAGTATTTCTGGACGAGAGACCAGTTATTTGGAAGGATGTCAAGAGAGCCTTAATAGTTTCGAAGAAATTTTAAAATCATTTTTTTTTTGTAAGGCGCAAATTGATATTTTCAATTAAATATTGTAGGCAATATCAAAAGTACACTGTTTACAAAAGAATCGAATTCTAATGAACTTGTGGAGACAAATTTGAAGGATGATTTATTCTTTGTTTTACGTGATCAGCATATAAAAGATGTTGGAAAATGTACTCTTCAAATTATTAGCAATATCCGTGACGAAAGGAAGGTATAAATTTTTACATTTTCTATCATTAGAATTTTAAAATTTTTTGGTTTTTAAAATTTAACATTTTAACCAATTTTTTTCAGAGTTTTTCTTTTTTTAATTTTTTATCTCTAGTTTTTATAAGTTTTTTTAGTTTGAAAATTATTTTTTTCATTTTTATTTTCCGTATTTTTATTTTTAATTATCTTTACTGCTATTTTACTGCTATTTTTAGAATTTAAAAGAAAATCCTGGCGGAAATTCGTTGGCTGAAAATAAAGTAGTTGTACGACGACTGATCGATGTTCAAAAAAGTGAAAAAAACGTGGATACTCATACAACAATTGCAAGTCATCTAATGACATTCATTCGTGATAATATGCGATTTTCAAAATTGCCTCAGTTAGAATTGGGTGTGTTGATTTGATTATTTGTCAGAAGGTTGAAGGATTTTGCAATACTCTAATTGAAATTATTAGAAGTATTAGAATTATTTTATATTTATATTTTATATTTATATTTATTTTATATTATATTTTTTAAGATATCGTTCAAGGATATTTCGGAGATCGAGTTATTCCCTTTATAGAAGATCTAATAATTGAGGCTTACGAGCCGAAACTTATTTTACGTTTAATAGCCATACAGTCACTTGTGTCTGGTGGCCTTAAGACAGCAACATTCAATGCTTATCAAAGACTCTTTATTCAGGTGTTTTCTTTCATACTATCTTTATGTCTTTTCGGTGGAATGTTTTCCTTTTTCACTGTTTAATGCCAATATTTGTTAATATTTATTTAAAATAAATATTTATGAATATTGTCAATATTGATTCAATGGCTAGGCGCTATTTGTTGATCTTAGAAATGAATTAAAGTGGACGTGTTATAACAAAACCTTCATATTTTCATCCTCTTTGTTTTCAGACATTTGGAATCTACAATCTAACATTGTGGCTTAAATTACAGTTGATGGGTCTAATATCGGAAAGAACCTCAAAAATTAAGGTATCACTTTTCTTTTGAACGTACTTGTTGAATCATAATCATAATGCTATTGTTTTATAAATTTGCTTGAATATATTTTCCACATTAATTCAATAAATTTTTATGTTTTTAAATTAAATATATTTAATTCTATGGTGACTATTGCAGTTCCAGGCAATTATGTTTTGTTTTAATTTTTTTCAGTGTAACTATTTACCGTTTGATTTCGCCTTTCTTAATCGTAAACTGGCATATTCATCAGATGAACGCTCTTCGGTTTTTTTTTTAAAGATCTTCATTTATACTATTTATTTTCATTTATTTGCAAACAATTAAGCAAATTAACAGAAATTTTAGAAATTAATTTTTTATTTTTTTTATTTTATTACATTTTTATTAAAATTGGTAGCGGGAATATCAAAAAAATGAGGTAATATTGAATATGAAATTGATTCCTTTAAACCGAACAGATTTCGTGACAAATTTATATAGAGAAACAAGAAATCGTGCTATATGCGCTATAACGAAATAATATTGTTATGTGAGAAAAAAGGGAGAAAAGCTTTTTAAAATGTTTTTTAATATTTTAGATAAAAAGATGTTTCTTAAAATAACTTTAAATTTGATAAAAAATTTAATAATTAAATTGATTGAATTAATCAATTCAGAACGAATATTCTTACATTTATGGCGAATATATTCCATTTTTGGTTCGTTATATCGAAATTGGCGCAAAAGATAACTGGAAAGATTGGACAACAATCACATCGTTCGATGAGGCAGAATCTTCACCAGATTCTTTTATTGTTGTATTTATTGTTGGTGGCATAACAATGGCTGAAATGGCTTGCCTTCGTCGAATAAAATTTTCTAATCCAGTGGTTATTATTTCTACATCTTTAACTAATGGAAATCTCATCACTCAACCTTTATGATTGATAACTCTTATGTGTTTCGATATTTCATTTTACAACCATTTTTGTGAATTTAAAAATTTTTACGACTTATTTATTTGCGAATTTTTGTTTTATAATGCCCACAAATATTTTTATAATAACAATAATATATTTGAATGAATTAATTAAAATATGATGGAATGCGACGAAAAAGAAATAAAGCTCTTTTGTTGACATAGCAACTGGAAATCACGAGAAGTGCGATGCGTTTTTTTTCTTTATTTTCTAGAATAGGGACATTTTATATAATTGTAATTATAACGCTATGGTTATAATCGTGATCACGATTTTTTCATTCTAGTTTAACTTCCACGACTTTACTTTTTTTTTACTTCTATCGGAACGGGAAGAGCAATAAAACGAGTGCCTGCCGCTTATGCATAAAGCAGTAAAGTGACCGGATGTCGGTCTTTATTCTTTTCAAATTCCTCAATTATTTGGATAAATTTTATATGAAATAAAATTTGCAGTGAATTTAAAAAAATAATTTAAAACAATTTTGCCGAATCGGAAATTTTTTTCTTCCTGAAAATTTTTCTCTTCCTCTTTTTTTGCGGGTCGGCTAATTTCTTTCGTCAATTTATGAGTTAAAATTGTATTCGAATTGGTTTTTTTAAGTTAAATTTGATGAAATTTATTAATAAATTTCGTCGCTAAACAACTAACAAATTGACCTATTTTTTCATTAAATTTTCCGGAATTTTCTTCCTTCCCCAAAATGAAAGAAAAGATGCATTTCAGAACAAATCGTAGTACTATTTTTATCGTAATAAAAGTAAAGTTAAAAATAATTTTAGATTTCATTTATTATCAATTAAGAAAGATTAGATTACTCGAAAAAAAGCAAATCTCTACCGCGAAATTTTAAAATTTTTCCGCACAATTTACCCCCGTTCTAATAACAGGTAAACGACTCAACGCTAATACACTGATTGATTTTAAAGGAGTGAACTGAAGCAGTTAAAAAAAATAAAATGACCCTGAGTGAATTATTGTCTTAAATACAACATTTCATACACGAAGAAACAAGAAGAAAATCATCTTCAATGGTTATAAATTGTTAATTATTGCAAGCAAACCAAGCGAACATTATATCTAACAGAGGAAATGCAATATAAAAACAAAATTTATTTTGATATAAATTGGTGATTGAAAATAATGATAAATATGATGTGTGATAACTCTGCGAAAATGATAAAACAATACAAAGAATTTTAAAGTAATAGTAAAACTAATAGCATAAGCAAAATGAAAAGTGAATATTTTGCATTTCTTTCTACAACGATGCCGATGAGCCTATTTACAAAGCGATCCTTCTCTCTCGCACTAATTCCCCATTTTTTGTTCAAAACTAGCAATTTTCAACTGTATCTTTTCTTCCTCTTATCAAAGACGAAAATAAGAAATATTTCATCCAATTATCGAAGAATCGAAATGTATCGAAATATTTGATATAAAATAAAAATATTAAGAAAATAAAAATTTTATACCCACTTGAAAATTAATAAGGAAGTAATAACGAAAATGAAACGAATGTATATATAATAACAAAGATTATCACCGGTATTTGTGAAACATAACGTTTTCAAAAATCTGCATCTTCGAATCGAGTATTTTTTGCAGATGGCGACGAAGGTGGCTGTGCAAATTTCTGAAGAATTTTTTTTTGCAGTTATGCACAATTCAGTATACTGATAGGTACGACACATTCTAAATCGTATAGAAAATGGTTCTTTTTTTCATAATATCGAATATATTGGTTCTCTTTTATAGTAAATACTTAAATTAGAATATTGAATTTTTAATAAATCACTACGGTCACTATGTTCAATATTTCATGATAAAGACAAACACAATGAAAATAGGCGACATATTTAACCATGTTTTTATAAAAATCCACTAAATCGCATTTAAATAGGCGAAAATAAAAATTACTTGTCCACGTGGACGAAACAGTTCATGTCTGGAAAGTTCGAAAACGTCAGCACGTTCTTCCTTACGATATTGCAAACAACGGCGAATAAAATCCTAGAAACATTATAATAAGAACTAAATATATGAAAATTTTCTCCTCCATAACCCAAAGTATTTTCTCCAACATTATAAAAATCAAATGTAGAAAAAATTTATTGGATTTGAAAGCTTATAAACAATAAAACAGTCAGTCATTAATGCAAAATCAAGAGCAAATGAGTAGAAAATCAATTTTATGAAAACCGCCAAAAATTTTGCTGTATTACATAATAATTCGACATAAACGAAATAAAAAATTACTTGTGCAGCCATACTAACAGTGGGCTTTGCAGGAAAATTGACTTCTGTCGCTTTTAAAATTGTATTTTCTTCAAGGATCTTTTGCTGCGTCTGTTCGTGACCAAATGGCTTCAAAAGTACTGAATTATAAAGGAAAAAAAAGACTTCTTAAAAAGCTTTTCGTTTCTTATCGAAAATCGCCAGAAAAAATTGCGCGATTTTGCTATTGATTGGTTTGACTGCTAAATTTTAAAAAATTACGAAATTAATAAAGTTGATGTATAACTTATAACATACGAACATATAGCAGAAAACAAGCCAAATGAATTCAGTTACTTTTGAGATATAATAAATTCAAATTCTAACAGAAAAAAATATTGTAAAAACAATAAATATATACCCGTCTTCCGTACAAACACTGGTAGAAAATTACGCCTACACTCCACACGTCGACTTTGGAGCTAATCTTAGGAGGATTACATCCAACAACAAACGTTTCAGGGGGCAAATACCTAAAAAAAAATTTGGAAAAAAACAAAAAAACGCATCAAAAGTAAAATACTCGAGTGACAGCACAAAACATGTAAAAACACTAAAGAATACCAATAAGTTCCAGCGCCTTGCGATGTAAGCTCAATTGAGTCACCTTCATCTGCATCGTCCATGACTTTACTTAAGCCAAAATCAGTAATTTTTATCGCTCCACTGGTAGTGCCCGATTGCAATAGAATATTAGCTGGTTTTAAATCATAATGAATGATTGGTGGACGCTTTTCTGCCAAATATCGTAACGCGGATACAACCTTTAAAAGATTTAAAAATTTTTTTTGAAAATTCAAAACAAAAAAATGAACAAAAATATTAAAAGAAAAAGAATTGAATTGCCATCTATTTCTTTAGTTAACTGACTAAATGAATATTTGAAATATATTTAAATATTAATAAATTACCTGCATAATAATTGAGCGCGCTTCCTTCTCGGGTATTTGTTTATTTTGTTTCAAATAAAAATCGAGATCGTTACCATCGCAATATTCAAGAACCGTACAGAATGAATGATTATCAATTGTAAAAAGGTCAAAAAGTCTAACAATTCGTGGATGATCTAATGTCTTGTGAATATCTTTCTCCCGCATTGCATGTTTCACATAATTCGCCTTCAAACAAAGATTTATCATTTTATATGCAATTTCTCGTACTACTATAAATTAAAATTTTGCGAAAAAAATAAATTCGAAGCTTATAGATAGAAAAGCAAGAGTACTAAATTAAGATCTTTAAGATGCCCACCTTCTTGTCTTCTTTCCATTCTTTGTTTACGTGATGAATTTTACAGGCAACCGTTTTATTCTCATCTAAATCAAAAGCTCGCCACACTTCGCTAAAAAGTAATCAATAAAAGAACAAAGAATGAGCAAACGTAAGCGAGATAAATAAGAAGTGAAGTGTAATAAAAATAGCATAAAAATAATTTCTCGAATAATCAAAAGCAAACTTTTTTCTGGATTTTCTGGATTTTCTAAAGCATTATAAATTAACCTGAAACCGCCTTTCCCGAGTAATGAAAGCAAAAGATATCTCTTATTGAGCAATTCATGATCCTTATAACGACTTGCTTCTTCATATTGAACCCGTTTCAATTCTCTTATATGTAAATTGCGCTCCCGCTCTAACCGATCTTTTTCCGCAATTAATTCCGATTCTTCTTTTTTCAAATGCTCCTGGAATTAATTACAAATGTTAGGTTTTTCCACTAGTTAAATAAAAATTTCGCGAAACATTTTAAAACAATAGAAAATATGAAATCAAAAAAAACAAAGGATAAAAAGTTAAAAAGTTTTAAAAGTTAAAGCAAATAAAGAAATGTAACAGTAATTTTACTTTACGAAGCCGATATATTTCGTCTTGTTCAATATATTCTTGAAAAGAAAGTTCTTTCGGCAATTCCGGACGAGCGAAGGTGTCATCACTTGTTAAACTACAACTACCACTTGCAGTTGATGTTGATGGAAGAAATCCATCATTACTTGAACTGGATGCCCTAAAAATATTGGATATAAATCATGAAAACAATGAATCAAACATAATAGAAATTTTTTTTTAAAAAAATTTCGAAACTAATTTATTGCAACCTTTTAATCTCTCTTAATGAATTTGCAGGTTTTCGTTTTCGAAGATTTTGAGAAGCATTCACTATTTCATTACGTTCATTTGTGATTTTTTGTTGTGCTTTTTCGATCTCTTCAAATGCCCAACCATCTGACCACATTTCACGAAACTCTTCACGATGTCTTGTTGGCTTAAACTGACCAATCCGCAAACAATCTTCCATGCATTTTGCCTTCGCCTAAATTATATATGTATATATATATATATATAATTCATATGAATTTAGTCACTGGCTTCAACCTGATGCAAAAAATTTTATTAATATTTTATAATTAAAAATGATAGAAATTATTCACATAATGCAAAATTAAATAATTACCTGCTTACGCTCCATCGTATTTTGCTCTATTAATAGCCTCTTTATGGTCTCTTTACACGCTTCGACGCGCCGATCCTTTCTAATTGCCTGCTGTTTTAGATCATCAATTGTCCTTTGCAGTTCTTCAATAAGGACATCCTTTTTGGCCAATTCCATGCGACTATTATCGTTTAAAGACGTTACATGATCCGTTTGAATCTATCCAATAGAAATGATTAATAAATTAATAAATCCAAATGCGCAATATCTATTTTCAGAATTGAGAATATTTATTGTGAAAACTAGATATTGTAATCCTATGAAGAGAAAAAAATGAAAAGCAAAATCTACCTGTCTCGAGACCATATTTTTTGACTCAATTTCAATTCTTTGTCGTAAATACTGTGGGGGACTTTGGCTTGCATCGCTAAAACCAGAGCAAGGAAGAGCACACGTTGGAGATGTACGATTGTTTGGAATGGGCGAAATTGATTTCGCGTTAAACTGTAATTTATTAAAGTCTCTTGGAAACTCGCGAAACGTTCATTTCAATTATTATGAATCAATAAAAATCGATAATAAACAATGAAGAGTTGCAAAGAACAAATTTCTCTATTTCTCTTAAATCTTTTCATTTCAAAAATAAAAAAAAAAGTTTTCAGATGTAACGTTTATCTTGAAGCGAAAATTTCTAGGTCCATTTCAATAAAAACGTAAAAATATTTAACAAAATATTTAATATCATCAACATACCACATTCGATAGCACTAAATTATCGTTGCTCATGCTTTCGCCATTTTGTAATTGAATAAGATTTGTTGTAACAACATGTCGTTTTGGGCTCAATCCATGATTCTAAACCGCAGATTAAAATATTTTATTTCTTCAGATCATAAGTTTCTTCTAATAATAAGCATCACTTCTTAACTCATCACCACACAACTTTACCTTAGATGACCCTTCAAAAACATAATACTTGGAAATGGAAATGCAGATGATACCACAAAAAACGGCAAAATTATCGTAATTTTGATAGCTAGTGAAATTGATATTCTTTAAGGAAACCTAAAATAAAATTTTGCAAAATATTAATTGAACGATAAGAAAAAAAACAAACCCTGAAACATTCTGTTATTTTTCTTTCTTGTCTTTGTTCATCTAAACGTTTTCGTTTTCGTGGCGCCTTCCTTTCCAATGATTTGGAATATTTCACACCCACTAACGGCTTCTCTGCACTTTCTAAATCGCGATCATTCGACATTGATCCTCCACTACTTAAATTCGAATATTCATTGGGTACAGATGGTAAGACTGGTATACTGCTTGTAATTATATTTGAGATTAACACGCCTGCCGGAACATTTGATGCAGTAGTAATCACAACTTCATTCGTTTCCATACCCTCGATCTATAAAATATATTTTTAGAAAAACAGTCAGCAAACATTAATAATATTGAGAAGAAAATATATTCTATTGTTCGGTTGAACTAAAGTGAATTCCTTACAAAAAAAAAAAATTTCAATAAAAGAGACGAATTTTTCGAGCGAAAACCGTTCATTTATGAAAAAAATTATGATGAAAAACTACCAAAAAATAAATAAAGAGCATAAAAAGCATAAAAATTACAAATTACCACAAAAATTTATTACAACAAAAATTTTTAATGAATTAAAGAAAAAATTTCAAATCTTTATTTATTTTTAAACTGTTCCAGAGAGTTATTATTTTGTAACCATAAATTCGATGAACCTATTTAAAAAATGCAGAAAAAGCAAAGTTTGAAAATTAAAGAATAGGAATTTTCTTTCATCAAAATCTGAAGGAACGCGTGAAAAATACGCCGACGCGGCTGAAAAATGTTTGTCCGTTTAAAAAAAAAACTGATATTAAATTAACGATTGAACTCGACAGAATCGATTACGACTTTTCCTCACATTTTCGAAAGATGTTTTCCTTAATTTAAAAAAAGTCCGAAAAAATCAGAAAGAATTCCGTGAGAATGTAGGAAAATTAGATGAATAAAATCAACTCTAAAATTTTAAAAAAATACAAGAACGATAAAAAATGTGGATTACGACAAGAAAACCAACTTTGCTAAAAAAAAATAATAATAAAACTATATTTGTTCCCACAAATTCCATATCATAAAAAATCAAACTACGACCTTCACTCGTAAATCAATAAATCTTAATAGAACTTACTACTGAAATGACCTCCTTTTTTTATCACATAGCCTTACCTGCTCAATCAACAATTCTACGCAACAAAAATGGAGCATAATAGGACTTTGCTGCTTAGATTATCAGATTATCATATTGAATATTCTGAATATTCTTATTCAGGAATAGACCTGCCATTCAGATTGTATTAAGAACGACCTTGTACTTTTATCTCCAATTGCCTAAGGTAACATCATCGCTCATCGTAAAAACCAATGAAATGAGCCCAACCAGAAAAATTGTGAGTGATGCTCACTCACTCATACAAACTATAGCAATATTTCTGTTCAGAATGAGGAATATACTTTGTATCTCCATTGTATTTCATTGCATAGCATCCATATTTACGATAACTGTCGTCCGTATTTATCACTTGTCCCAAATATTAAAAAAGAATTAAGAGAACAAACTCGGAGGTCTGACGGTAAAGTTCGTGAAGCACGTGGCCCAGTATTGAATGACCGTCTTTCAAGTTCAGATTTAATCGGTAAAATGCTTCCACCACCTTGCTGCTGCTGTTGTTGCAGAAAACTATCGCCTTCAATTTCCGCGGACATTACACATAATAAACCACAGCAAAATATATCAGCATAATTAATAATTAATAAAGTTAACCTTAAAATTAATTAAATATTAATATTAATAAAATAAATGAGATTAGACATTTTCGCATTTGATTAAACAATTTTTTTACCAAAAAAGCATTTCTGATAAATACATGAAATAAAAAAGCACAACCTTTCCTCACTGAACAACTTTTTTTAAGCATTTTTTTCATTAAAAAACATGTGAAACACTCTTTTTTAAAGAAAAAAAACCAATAGAAATTAATTGTAAATGAAATTACAAAGTTATAAAATTTATATAAAAAAATATAAATTATCATATGCCGTCGCAAATCATACGAATTGGTAGATGGTACCAGAAGCAAAAATGGCCAATTTAGATGTAATAGCCAGTCCAGAGATAAATAGGCCTAGTCAGTGGAAAAAAATGAATGGCTTCAATTGCCTCCAGGTGTGGTGTCGAATCGACCAACTTGACCAACAGAAAAAAATACGAATATTTTTAAATATCAATTGTCGTTAGCCAAAATTTGTACGAAATTCTTGACAGAAAAAAATCATTGATTTTTTCAAAAATAAACAATTATAAGAAAAAACATCTAAATAAACAAATAATTTTTGATTTCTAAAATAATTTAAAAATCATGAAAAAACTTGAAAAGTTGAAAACTTCTCCCCATTTTCTTTCTTTTCTCTTTTTTCCTTGCTCATTCTTCGTTCATCCTTTTGCGTTCCTTTTTTTTTCTTTTTCTTCCTCAACAATATTTAACTACAATTAAATTTTTTAAAAAATAAAAAATATTGAGAAAAACACTGAATAGGAATAAAAATCGTAAAAAATATCTAATTCCTAACTGAACGAAAAAAAGTAACCCACTGGTGATAAGGTCGAGGTTCAGAGGTCGGATGGCACCACGCAATGACTTAAAAAAAGGATCGAAGCGAAGTCAAAACAAGTGAGCGCGAAGGAAGAAAATGATAAAATATAAAGTTTGATTGAAAAATATGCGCAAAATTAGGGTGTGGCTGAGCGTTCGCTAAAAATTTATATCTTTTCGAATGCAAAAATATACAATTATCGATTGATTCAAGATTATTGATTATTTAAGGTTGAAAAATCAACGATTTTTTTCAAAAAACTTTCCAAATTAGCAGGGAAAATTAAATTTTGAAAATTTTCATATAAAATTTTTCGACTTTTTTCACTGAAAAACTATTTTAAGAAAAAATTAATTAATTAAAGAAAAATAAAAATAAAAAACTTCCAAATAATAGCGAAACAACAAAAAACTTCTGCAATTTCATTTACAAAAAAAACATTCCTTTCCTTGCAAACCTTTCATGCGCGACCTTTGACCCTAAATTTCACGCAAGAAATCGATCGCCTAACCGCCGAAAAATTGACCCCCAAAAGTACGATGACAACAAATTAATTATGAGATAAATAACCAATAAGCGGAAATGAAGGAAATTTCGTTTCGAGAGTACCAAAGTAATTTTGGACGAACTCGACCGAATTTATACGAAATTTTTACGCGGCATTTCGTTTTCTAATTTTATCAAAGTGACGCAACTAAATGACCTCTTAGCGCTCATAGTGCATGGTTGAAATGTTGCGTTACGGAGAAAGGTCAAATGTCACGTGGGTCATAGGCCTAAGTTTGGATATAGCCTAAGGAGCCTAAAGGCCTAAAACTAAGTTTGCATTTGGAAAAAGATAGGTTTTATCAAAAAATATAGCAAAAATTATCTGTTTAACTAATAGCTAAAAAAAGCCTATAATGACGGTGAAAAATTTGTAAAAGAAAAAAAAATTAAACAAACTGATAAACAAATATCATCGAATTATTTATTCAGAAGGATGGAATAATGGTTTAATGGTTCGTTGCGTCATTGTTAGGGATTTGATTCTCAAAAAGTGATAAATCTGTCTTTTAAAAATCGTGGTGACACCGGTGACTCATTTGTTTTTTTATATGAACTCACTGAAAAAATTTTTCTCATTCGAAAAGCGAAATGAGAGCTTTGGTGAGAAATGGTGAAAAATTAAGTAAATTTATTATTTCTTCTTTTATTTCTAGAAGAAAGTTTATTTCTTCTTTTTCTAATAGCTCTCACTATTACTGGTTAAGCGCGCTTCGCTGGCTACAAGACTGTTCGGTCCGACGGTCTGACGGCTAGTAGTAATAGAAGCCATTTCTTTTTCCATCGTCTAAGTCCATATATCGCTGGTCTTGCTGGTCCCCCAATACGTTGAGAATCTTTCCTGACTGTATCGGTCCAAGTCTTAATTGGTTCTCCTCGCTTTTGACGCCAATCATTACAGGGTTTAGCAAGTAACGAAATATACGTCAACTCCTCTGGTGGACGACGAAGAACGTGCCCTAACCAGCAAAGACGACTATCTGTGATAACATTATTAATATTACAGGTGATAGTTGAGCGAAAATGGATACAATCATGTGCGATTTTATCTGGTCGGCGGACCCGTATAATATATTTTAGATATGAGTGGCTAAAGGCTGATAACTTCTTAATATTAAAATTATAATAGAAAGTTTATTTAAAACATATACTACGGTAACGAGGAATAATCTATGCAACAACTAATAAAAATCCTTGATGGATCTAATTATTCCATGAATAATTTTGCTAATTTTTATAAAGAATTTGTCCCAAAATTTCCAGTTCTCATATCTTTAATTTCATCGGAACCAGGCATTTCTTCATTGTTGCGATTCAAGGTGCTTTTGGAGATTCATAAGAAAAAATTTGCATAATTTGCATAAATTTCGACGATAATCTAAAGCAATATTAGCTGCACCTCCAATTTTGTCACAGATCATAGCTATTTTCTTATCACATTTTTTTTTTCATCATATATAATATTTTGAACCCCAAAGTTTTAAGAAAGGGGTCCACAGATTTTGTAGATGAATTTGTGTAAGATATTCGTTAACGATATTCGTTCAATATTATATTTTAGTGTAATGTTGTATTGTATATCAATCTTCCACCATTTGCAAGATTATAAACAAGATTCTCAATTTATAATAATGAAGAGAATATCGTTCTAAAAATGGTGGCAGTGGTGGCAGTGATCATTGCAAATTTGTAGATTATGTCGCTTATTGCATGACCTCCAAACCAAACGACAATACCAAAGACAGGAATATAAATGGTACTTATAAATGGTACTCTTTTTACATGGCTATTATTTACTATGAGCTATCCAGTCGCCAGCACCACCGCTTCACCATAAAGCATTAATGAAATTTAAATTCTCTTATTCCGATTACCAGTTGACATTTAAGTCAAAATAACTATTTCCACGATCAGTCAAATTAGAACTGGTCAGTGGTGCTTCGAATACAAGTCGTGAAGCCGTTAGAGACGGAAATGCCGATTTGAAAAGTTCAGTGGAACTGCTAAATCTCCTAAAAATACTCTTTTTTTAGTGTTCAATTTTGCTTTGGTTGATTGCATGATTTAAGATGGATAGGAGGGACCATTTCATTAGCGAGCAGCTTTGGGTTAGAAGTAAAGAAAAGTTAACAGCACCACCTTGGTTCCTTAATGGCAGAAGTGATCCTATTTGCTACCTTAATGAGG